GGGCGAGCCACAGCGGCAGGTCGACCACAGTCTTCTCCGGCAGATCCGGCTCGCGGCAGCTCGGATCTAAGAAACCACAGTCCAGTGCATCCGTTTCAAACGTACACTTGATGCGCTCCTCCTCCGCTAAGATGGTGTCGATGTCCAAGTATCCACTCATTAGCAGCTAATGACTATGTTAAGACTCTCTAGAGCTCTTTCAGAAATACAGATTTAAAACGTCAGAAAATATACCTCGAATATCGTATCGGAGCTAAATGGCCGACGATTTGCAAGACATCGAGAGAAAGCTGGGCGAGGTGGTCCAGTCTTGGGGAATATCTGCATTTAGCGAACGTATAGCGTTGCAGTGGATCAAACGTTTTATGGGTAGTGATACAAGTTGCGATGCATTGAAACACCTACGTATGTGGATTGTACTGCAGCTCAATCACCGGCGCGTGCCCGACGATTGCTCTTCATGGCAATTAGGATGTCCCGAGATGATTCCACAGCTACGTGCATCACCTTTGTGGAAATGTAGCGAGTTTTCGTGGGTAAAGACTCTCGAGAATAGCTTCTTTGTCATTAAAGAAGAGCTTTTGGCTCTCAAAAGACGCCCCACGTCGGGATTTCAGCCGTATCGGGCTCCGTCTTGGGCCAGTGACATCAAAGCAAGGACATCAGCATCTTTTAGAAAAGGAGATTAGTTCATGAAATGACAGCTATTTTGTCTGTATACGTAGGCGAAAGACGGACTGGGTGGCGCTGGTCACGACGCGGGAGATTGGAACGTCTTTTACCTGTTTCTGCATAATATGAACTTTCAAGCAAACCGAGATCTGTGTCCGAAGACTAGTGCATTGCTCGAATCAATTGATGGCCATTATAATCATGCATTTTTCTCTGCTTTAGCACCACAGACGCATATACGAAAGCACCACGGACCTACTAACAAGAAACTTCGTTGCCATTTACCGCTACTAGTTCCAGAAGGGAACTGTCATCTTCGAGTTGGAGATCAAGTGGTGTATGCGCAAGAAGGAAAGTGTTATATTTTTGACGACTCGTTTGAACACGAAGCATGGAACGATGACGACACAGACAGCCGAATTGTGCTGATTTTCGACGTGTGGCACCCGGATTTAAGTGCCCAGGAAGTAAAGTTTTTCTCTTTTTTGCGTAACGCGCGATTGCGAATGGAGAAGACAATTTGCGAAGAATCTAGTGACAACTTCTATTCCATTATTAAAAAAGCTACGGACACTTATGCTGCTCTTCCCGGAGTCGTGTGGAACTAATCCATTGATTTCTACATTCCAATCGAGAAAATTGCGATTAAAGTAATTAAAACACTAAGAGGTTACTCGGAATCCGAATCACTATCGTCAATTACTATAAAAGACACTGCCTTCTTCTTGGATTTTACATTGCTTTCCAAATCTCTTTTGAATCTGATCCTTTCAACCTGAGGAGACAAGATCTCGCTTTGGGGGTCAACAATCTTTATACATCGTTTTTTCTCAGCCAAGCGACGTTCATCGGTCTGTTTTACTTTGGCTGCCTGATTGTTTAGTTCAGCAGTTCGACTGTCCCCATCCTCGCATTCTTTACGAATAGAAGGATCAGTGAGCACATTATGCTTATTAGCGTTTACAAAAGGTTGGTGCACGGGTCGATCTTCAGACGAAATAGCACGTTGAACATCCAGACGTGACTGCGCTGATGCTTCGACTGTTGGAAGTGGGTTAACAGTCGCTAGATTGGATGTAGATAACTGAGCGTTGACTGTTGAGCTGGTTTCTCGATTAGGAATGACACGAATTGCTTGAAGAATGACGTTTTTGTGGTCATCTTCGACGAAGAATCGCACTTGTCCAGGCTCCGCAACAATCGCTTCTCCTAACAGGCGCAAATTATTCAAGACATAGTCGAGTTTGCGCTGAAGAAATGTGTTTTTATTGCTTGCTGCAGCCATTCGTGTGTCCCCATGCGTGCGATGCCTCTTCCGCTTTTTGCTTGAGGCATGGAACATAGATCCTCCACCAGAACTTAAATTTTTTAGTAACTTAGCCGGATAGCCATCAACTTGCGCTTTCATACTAGCGACTATACCTGGCTCAACCTCCTCTTGAACTTGATTTTGCTCCGATCTATGAGGTTGAAACATCTGACTTTCCACACTGCCACGCATCCACAGTTGCTCTACTACCACAGCTTGAGTCGCGCCCATACGATGGGCTCGACTGATAACTTGCTGCTCAAGCGATTTATCCCAGATCTCGTCCATTAAAAAGATGTGGGTGACAAACGAAAGATCTAAGCCATGCGATCCGACCTCTGTAAGAAGTAAAACATGGACATTAGGATCTTTGCGAAAACGTGTCAATTGTTTCATACGAGCTCCAGGACTGAGTCCAGCAATAAAGTCGGCCGTTGGTACACCCTGCTGTGCAAACGCAACCTTGGTGTGCCAAATGTGATCTTTAAATTGCGAAAAGATGATAACCTTGAGATCGCGATGACGTGCTTGCCGATGAGAGTAGCAACTGCTTTGCTCCCTACCTCGACGAATGTATTCTTCCTTGAGCTCTTTTACTCGAGTAGCGGCGTACAGAGCTTTGCTTGCATCGATAAAATGGATGTCACGCGTCAGATCCAGCGCACGACGCCGCTGTCGGGGAGCATTTTGGCGATTTTCCTCTTGATTGCTTTGATTTCTCACGCGTTCTTGTTCGACTTGACTTTGTTGATTGTGGTGCTGATCTAAATTTGCTAATAATTGATTTTGATTGATACGTCCATTCTGATTAAAGTTGGGATTCATAAATTCCTGTGGAACGGCTTCAACCATCTCAAACTCAAAGCCGGGCTGGAGCATTTGAAATGCTTCACGATCAAATTCAGCATTGCAATTGAAACAACGGGGACCCACTCTTTTCATTTGATCTTCCACACAATCTGCACAGCATAAATGTCCACATGGGATGATCATAAGTAATTGAAGCTTGCGATTGCAGCATTTACACAACGTTGTCATCCCTTGAAGCTGCACTTTTCGAAGGTAATCAATAACGATGCCCATACTCTCGCCATCAACATCAAGATTGCTCAGCATATTAATCGTATCGAGTCGGGACCACTCAGCCAGCTTAACCTTCACAGCAGACCCACCACAGCATGCTGATCGAAGATTCGAGACAACGCGCAGCGCTTCCTTTCGATTTATTGGGTTCAGCAAGCTGTCTGGATGCTGATAACCAGGCTTGTCCGGGTCCATATTCGTAATGACAAGATTCGCACGTACGGCGGCAGCAACACCATTGTATTGTGCATATTCGCTAGGTGTTGGATCAATAAACACAGTGCGCCGAATCGGTTTGGGCAACGTTTCACGAATTGACTCTTTCGTGTGCCTCATCATAATTCGACTTAAAAGGTACTGAAGGCGATAGAAGGCAATAATTTGATTTTGTTCAAACGGTCGTGCGATTGCCTTCACCCAAGCTTGCCCATCTGGATCTCCATACGGCATATTGCGCAGAAACACCAGAAGTCCATGCATATAGCGAAGATCCGCTGATTGGAGCGTGTTTGGCGTTGGAGTTCCAGTCATTACCCACCGTCTCTCTGCACAAAGTAGACGAGCAAGTTGCATCAAATCTGAAGGTGTCTGACCACCCAACTTATGGCCTTCATCCACAATCACTCGTAACCAGTAGACAGTCAGAAGCGATGAAACAGTGCCACGAAGAGTACCATCTGCATATCGATTCGACCCTTCAAATCCATAACGTTTAGGCATACGCGCTTCCAGAGCCGATGTAGGTCTGTGCAGCTTCCATTCTCGAGTCAATCGTGTAAAAGATGTAATCACAATGTCATACTGTGCAAGGTCCAAATTCGTTGGCAATTTGTGCTCGACACCAGGGTCGACAAATACACGCAAAGCACTGGGGGCAACATGAGCTTCAACTTGGTACTTCCAATGCTCAACCAGTGGATCGGGTGCCACGATCAGTGAAGCTCTAGAACTCACCAACTCTTCTACTCGCACCGAGCGACCTCGGGACCTCGACGAGCGTAAGCCAGATCTGGCTATCTCTCGGCCAGGACCATGTGGTTGAGCTGAACTTTGATTAGTCGATTGACCTTTCGTTCGTAAAATAAGCGCTAACATCGTAATTGTTTTTCCAAGGCCTGGCTCATCGCAGAACATGCCTCCACAACCATCTCGTGCTGTCACATGATCGTGCGTAATAACTTTGTTTTCAATATAATCAATGGCTGCTTCTGACTCTTGGTCTAAATCAGACGATAAGATATATGGATGTGGCTGAGGTACACAGCTTAAGGACGGCGTTTCACGGCGCAACATCCACTTGAGTCCTCTCCGCTGGTGCTCAAAAAGCACAAGATTCAGCCCAGGCACGACTTCGTATGCCATGTGCTGGAAGAGTGAACATACTCCACTCAACGACGCTAGATCGCGTCCGTTCATAAGACATACAATAGTTTGCAGAACATTCGTCGGCAGGTCGGTCATCACAATCTCTTTGCGAAATTGATTCATTCGACTGATGTACGTCCTATCATTTCGAATCTCCATTTGATTCACAACCGTTTGGCTTGCCAGACTCTGAAAGACATCAGGCAAGTCTAATTTGTGCTTCGATTCACAGTTCTCTTTCCAAGGATGCAGTTTACACCCTACGACATGGCATAAACTGTTTTTCGCATTCTCGAGCGCAACACAACGTGCTTCCTTTCTTGACTTTTCATTGCATTGCTCAATCTCCAATACATTCGCTTGCATATGGCACAACACAAAGTCAAAATCTTTAAGCGACGTGCCGTGCTTTGCATTTTCATGCACGCGTACACACAAATGAAGTATCGCGACTTCATTGGCTATGACATAAGTGGCATTCATAGCAAGAATCTGTTGTTCACTTAGCATCACGAGCATTTGTAAAAAGTGAATGGAATTGCATCGACAGTCATGAGTGCCTTTTACACAAGTTACGTCCTTCCAAACGTTGATTCCAGTAAAGTCGAGCTGGATCCGATTATCTGATGTACGCTGTAGGGTCACTGGGACACCTAAAGTATTTGCTGTAGTATACTGAAAAATTTCAGAGTACGTTGGAGCTAGTAGCTCAATTGTGCGGCTCACGTTGACTGCGTTCGAGATGGCAGCGGCCATGGATCAAGATTTGATATGCACGATTTCGAAATATTAAATAGTTATCAAAAGGGTACTTTTGAAAATTAAATTGCAAATTGGATGGTCAAATGGGTGGATAAGCACATCATGCAATGTCGTATCCTGTTGTTAAACATAGCAGAGCAGATGTGTTGAGTATAGTATTTGTCACGCGGAATGAAGACAAAGAGCTTACTTGTTATCTAGTTACCAGAGAGACTCTTGCTTTCGCTGCTAGGTAGGGCGTACGAATCTATCTTTGTGAGTAGCAAACATGGATTTATTACGTCAAAATTTTATGCGACGACCGAGTCGGAAAAACTGTGTCCACTGTAAGAATATGGCACGAATTCTCTAGCCCTCGAGACAAGAAGCATAGGAAATTCATGTAATTCATCGGTCTCGAAAGCAGCCGGCGGTTTAAGAGTCGGCAGCGGTAATAGCTTGCCTGGAGGCGTGCGAAGCTCATGTCTATCATTTAAAGGGTCGGTCGCGATATTGCTCGCCCAGATGCGTACAGTGCTATTAACATTCCCTCATGTAACGGGACAGCAGGTTACACGCACTCTTGCGCTGAGGTAGCCGTTACCGTGAGGCTTAGTGTAACGGGGTTACACGTACCCTGCTAACAGGGGGGGGTCACACGAGATGGGCATAGTGTGACTGGACCCAAACGAGAAACGGATACGGGGATGGGTAGCCAGCAGTTATGCATGTATTCAGATTTTACTATATATATTTAGGAAAATCTATGCATTTAAAATTAGGCGGTTAGCCGCAGATAAAAACAAATAAAGTCAGTTTTGGATTTAAACGGGAAAGCTAATTAGCCTTTGGTCAAGGCAATAATTACTCTTAGAGTAAGCGGATTGCGATCCGCTAAACTAGTACTTGTTCTAACTATAGAACGAAAGGTCGGTGACGTAACTTACGCTTCCTCAAAGCGCAAAGTTACGGCAGCCTCGCTGCACTTAGTCTACTCGCGTAGCTGTCGTACGCGCCCCTTAAACCACAACCGTGTGTGGATCTCTTAATCAAATGAAAACCGAATATGGTTACAGAAGGAGGATGAAATAACAGGGTGTGGTGCAAAGCACTGAATTCACCAGACCTTGACTGTCTCGATCTGGGAGTTTCTTGTCTTGAGGCAGAGCATCAGTGGCGGGCATGTATCAAGCAATGAAAGCCGCGGCATCTGATGGAAAATTTAATTCGCCTTAAGATTGCTGATGATTACGCGCGATGAGAGAGTTTGTTACGGGATTACACGCACCCTGGTATGAAGGGGTGGGTCACACAAGATGATATGATCATACAATGGTGTGGCTACACCTTATCACTAAATTATTACGTGGCTTTTCTGCCAGTTTGTTTTGCATCTTGTCTAGGTTTTGCTATTTTATCAAAAAATATAGATTGAGATATAGGCAGCTTTGCCGGAAATAAAACCAGGAGATACAGTTTACATTTTGAACGGAAGAGCTTATTTGCCTTGGGTAAATGTTTTAGTTACTCTTGATGTAAGCGGATTGCGACTCACTACACTCATACTGGTTCTTAGTAAAGAATCAAGGTCACCGACCTTAGCTGAGCTTGCTCTCAGCGAATGAGCAAAGGCAGCTCCGCTGAAGAGGTGACCTAAAAAGCATTCACATTTTCAGAAAATCTTCAAGTTGCTGCTTATTTTGTCCTGCACCACAGAACTATACGAAGGTGCGGATGCACTGTATATGCTAGCAAGCTTCGATCGCGCGTCATTGCTCAACTGGGAAGTTATTAGCCCTAGTACTTCTACTTGATCAGCAATTTCATGATTTGGTGAGAATCACATTTAGCAGGTCAAAAAGCCTTTCATTTAATCTTCCGATGGCTATTTTCAACCAAACGAACTAAGTACTTGAGAGACTCTAAGGTTATTTATAGGGTGGCCTCGGTGGGCTCATCCTGTATGCGTTAGTTAATACAGACTCTGAGAGCTTCCACCGTGCAAGGTGCTCAAAAACCGTTGACAGAAATGATTTGAGCTACAGTGTTGGCCAAAAATATGTAGCCATGACTATTTCTCAAATTTTTACGTCAAATTTCAGCGAAATAGCCTAAACCGTGTAGAAAATGCTATTGAGACAAAGCACTTCAGGAGCGTATCATTTTTTTTCATAGACGATTTTTCGTTGCGGAGATCAAGAAGTGACCATCACCT